TGTGCATGGGGGTAATGTCTTAAAGCTGCTGTTGCTGCTGCGCGCGACAGTACGCAATTACTATAGGCGGGACCGCAGCGGGACCGCGGCGGGACCGCAAAATGTGGGAATTCCCACGATTCCAGGTTGCAGGCGGGACCGGTCCCGCCGTCGGCGGGACCACTTTACCTGTGAATTTATAGGAGCGGGACCGCATACCCCGTTTGGGAATTATAATAATATACCAGGGGGGGTCAGGTGATGTTTTGGAGGTGGGGTGTGGGAAGATTCTTGGGGAGGTGATGTTTTGGAGGTGGGGTGTGGGAAGATTCTTGGGGAGGTGATGTTTTGGAGGTGGGGTGTGGGAAGATTCTTGGGGAGATATCTTGTCTATCTAGCGTTGTATCCCTGGATGTCTTCTAAATGGGGTCTCTGGACCGCGCATGTCTTCCAAGCGCTTTGTCTTCGACATGGCGCTTGCAAGTCTGCGGTTTCCAGCTTTCACTCCTGCCGCGCTATGCCTTTGGCATTGGGATTTTCAGCCTTGACATGGTCTCATTCCAAGCGCTCTATGTCTTGACCATGGCGCTTGCAAGTCTGCGGTTGCCAGCTTTCCCTCCTAGTGTCCATGCCTTTGGCATGGTGCTTTCGAACCTTCACATGGCCGCTCTCACTCCAAGCGCTCTATGTCTTTGGCATGGCGCTTTCCACATAGTGCACGGCTTGACTCTACTCATGCGGGCTTGCCATTGGATGCATGCGACGTGCCAGCAGCCACGTCAAATCACTCACATCCAGCTTTCCTGCTTGTCGTAGAAGACGTCTTCGTTTCCTTTCCTGCAGGCTATGGAGTACATGTCTTTCAACATGGGTTCAGCGTTCACATGTCCCACCTGCACTCACGAAAAGACACCGTATCCATGCATTTACATGCACTCTCCTGGTTCTGTAGTTCTTTGGTGGCTGCTGCTAACTGGCGTTTCAAATTTTTGCGCTCTTCCTTCAGCACAGCAACCCTATCAGCCGCGGCCGGTGGGGCTGCAGCTGCCGCGGCGTTTGCATCAGCAGAGGACATGGCACTCAAGGCGGGCGAACAACAGGCTTGCTCCACTCAAACTGCATGCAGTCCTCAAGATGATCCTGTGTTCTCTTTGTGCTTGCCTGGTACCTCCTTTTCACCCCTGTTCACGACCCCAGAAACATGGCTACGAGAATGTGACAAAATGGTCATGCACCGATGTACCCTGATAGTATGTCTGCCAATGTGTGCTCTGCCGCGCAATTTTTCTCCCGGCTCGCACCTCGTCACAACAGAGCCGTGTACGCGTACGCCATACGGCGTCGCTCAGGCCAGATGCTTTGCATGGCTTCTTTAGAGGGCTTGCTGCCTGGAGGCATATGCAGTGGCATATCCATAAATTTTCGCAACTCCGTATGGAGGTGCGCCGTATCGGGCGGCTTCGCCGCACCAACAGATTCAAAAGTGCGTTTCCAACTCTTGCCGGCAAAGTAGCTGGGACACTGCATGAGTTCAAAAAGCCAGGCTAACGGGTCTATCAAACCCTCACAGGAACCTGCCCTCAGTTCCTGGTACTTCCTCTTCAAATGTGTTTTCAATGGGTGGAAACCTGCTATATCTAACGGTTGGATTTTGTCTGTACATCCGGCTGGTATGTACAGGAGCTGGACACCATTGCGCCGAGCGCACACCATGGTTTCCTTTGCGAGATGTGAGGACGCAACATCCAGCAACAAGATAGGTTGAAATGGATAAGGTTTTAAGACTTTGCCTAGATCGCGCACAATCTTGGTGATGTTCTTGCAGGATGTCCAAGCACTTTTCTGACGTACTATGTGCAGCGCCGTTTGTGGCAAGCGCCGCTGGCCCCTCAGCAACTTCTGTGTCAGCTTGGTCTCAGTCCCAAAAAGGTAGTGCGGCAACTTGCCTTGAATATGCGGCGCATCACAAATGATGCTCACATAGGTCAAAGCCCCTCGCACGTCTTGTTTCCGGACAGGCATGCGAAGACTGGCATGTCGTGGCAAAGCAACGCAGCCGGGCAATTGCAGCATGGTGTAGGGAATGCTAGTTTCGTCTAAATTCAAAAACAGCGGAGTCTTGTCCACAAACTTCGTGTTCACGTAGTAGGAGAGTAACTGCCAAAAGGTTCTCACCTGACAGGGCGAAGCCGAGCAGGGAGGCTAGGAAAACATGACCACATGTGGGAGGAGGTCCGAATTGCAATGAGCTTGCCCGGCCCCATTTTTGGAGCCGGAAAACGGTCGCAAAAACACGACCGTGCTTGGCGCCTTAGCCTGCACCGTGACTGGGTCCCTGTGCACTTGTGGACGTAGGACTCGGCGCCGCAGGTTCCACTTGGCTCGGAAGCGCTGCACCCATTGATTCACATGCCGGCGAGGCGGCAAACCCTCCAGGAGGCTGCCAAACCGCGCTTTCTCCCACGTGGCATAGACATCCAGCGATAGCGGTGCTACACCGACGTGGTTGCAAGCCAGAACCCAGTTGAAAGTGTTAGCCTCTGCCAGAAAAGCGGCTGCATGCCGCACTGGCCGTGCCCACGGAGTCGCGGAAGGTGAAAAAATGTGCTGCAAGTCTAAGTCTGTGGTGCTCAAAAACAAATCTTCCACCACAACCCGTGTTGTCCCTGAGGTCGGCTTGACTGCTGGCCACAGGGCAGCGAAGCGAAGCGCTAGCTCCATATTGCAGTCCAACAACACATAGACGGCAACGATCGCTTTGCAAGCAAGAGGGCTAAACCTCCAGAGGCTGCTTCCTTCTTTGCTCGGTATCTGGCATGCTTGGCTTGCACTCCGGCCGCTCTGTTTCTGGCAAGGTCTGCTTGCAAAGTTGCAATGGTTTCTGCTAAAGCCACTGGAGTCGCCGCAGGTGCGTGAGCCATGGGGCAAGGCTGCGGCCACCTGGGTGCTGTCTTGGATGTCTTTGCATGGAAGCCTATACCCTTCTGTTGCTGGGCTGTGACTCTGTGGCATATGAATGCGGAAAATTGGTGCTGTTACAGCCATGTCCTGTGACTCATGTGGCGCTGGATCCACACCGAAGGCCCGACAGAGCTGCTGCATGCAATCTGTGAGTGATGGCTGAGCGGCGGCTGCAACAGATTCTCCATGCTGACCTAAACACAACCTCCTGGACTGCAACTCCTAGAAGGAACCCTTGCAACTCTGAGAAACAATGCACGTGCAGCATGCACCCACATGGCAGAAGCACAGTATATATGTTATATATATATATGTTATATATATATATGTTATATATATATATGTTATATATATATATATGTTATATATATATGTTATATATATATATGTTATATATATATGTTATATATATATGTTATATATATATATATGTTATATATATATGTTATATATATATGTTATATATATATGTTATATATATATGTGTTATATATATATATGTGTGTTATATATATATGTGTTATATATATATATATGTTATATATATATATATATGTTATATATATATATGTTATATATATATATGTTATATATATATGTGTGTTATATATATGTTATATTATATATATATGTTATATATATATGTTATATATATATATATGTTATATATATATGTTATATATATATGTTATATATATATATGTTATATATATATGTTATATATATATATGTTATATATATATATATGTTATATATATATATGTTATATATATATATATGTTATATATATATGTGTTATATATGTTATATATATATATGTTATATATATATATGTTATATATATATATGTTATATATATATGTTATATATATATGTTATATATATATATGTTATATATATATATATGTTATATATATATGTGTTATATATATATATGTTATATATATATGTTATATATATATATATGTTATATATATATGTTATATTTATATATGTTATATATATATGTTATATATATATATATTGGTGATTTTATCTTGGTTGAGTTGCGGACGGTATGTCCAGAAAAATGGAAAAATGGGAAACATCCGTTGGGGCCGATGGACAAACCCATGCCCAGTTCGTTTCTGGGGACCCTGCCTCCGTGCTTGACGCCATGAGTAGGTCAAGGGGGCTCCCCAACTGTGCACAGATGGCTGCCTTTTCGGCTTCCAAATTCGAAAGTTAGGCTGATCGGCAACGTGTCACTGATAAATGGTGGACATGTCAACCGAACTCGCATCATCAGCTGCAGATACTCGAAAACCTGTCGCATTGCAAATTGTTCTATTTTTGCAACAGGATCGATGATTTCCCCATAAAAAAGTGAGGATTTTCCACCATTTTTCCAATTTTCCACCATGATTTTCGGCAGTGGGATGCTGGCCACACTGCCACAGCTTCACTTTGGAAGCTCTGAACCGACGTTGCAAAGCGGCAACGAAAAAACCACCTAAGAGACCTTGATGCTGGGAGGGTATGGGACTCCGCAGTCATAGATTTCGCATGGTTTCGCCATCAAAATGTCTGAAACATGAGATTGGATTGGTTCAGGCGTCCTAAAAATGGAAGACAATACTTTGCACAAGACTATGTCAATCCATGGTTCCCACCTTGGATTCCTTGGATTGTCATATTTCCAGTAATCAAGCTAGTACACCCCCAACCATTAACCAAATGTCATGTATAGATTGAATTCCACTCTTCATGGTTGATTCCCCCCTTTTTGATGGTAACTTTATCAAACAAGTGAAGTTTTGGGTACTAAGAGGCTGCTCTCCCTGCTCACAGCTGTGCGCGATGGGAGCCGTTGGTGAAAGTCACAACTACTCGTCGCATCGGTTTTCTCATCTAAATTCTGATGTTTACAGTTTATGACCGTAGCTTTTCTTACCACGCAACCAAAAAGATGGGTATCAAATATTCCCCCACTCTTTTGCTGAATATATATATAACATTATATCTATTATAGCTTACCATTAACCCACCATTATTTAAGCCACGCAAACCGCTCAGAACCTTCACCGTGCAAAAAAAGGCCGCCATTCCCAGAAGTCCCCATGGGTCCCCGAACAAAGCCGATAGCTTCCATTGGGCAAACGCCTCCAGAACGTGGGGGACCGACCCATCAACCAATCTGAACAAGGCAGTCGAAGATTAAACCTTCTGGTAAACTAACATGACTATGGAAAATCACCATTTTTAATGGGGAAAACTCACTATAAATGGCAATTTTCAATAGCTATGTTAAATTACCAGAGGGTAGATACAAAGGCTTTGCAAAGCCTTTTTTCCGCCTCGAGTCTCGATCAACCCGGCTGAAGGCCACCAGGCGTAGTAGTGCAGTTCGATATATCTACCATGAACACTGTCAAGTTGGTGAAATGAACCAACGTAGGCAACGTAACGAACACTTTGTATAACAAGGAACACTTACCATTTACATAACCTAAATCTTACAATAGAGACAGGTATGTATATTCTTGAGATATGCCCTCCGGTAATCAAACATAGAAATTGGACATCCTCCATTTAGTGTAAATGATTTTCCCGGCGAACTAAATCTCCATGGCTAGGCCACGGTGATTTTCCTGCCAGTCATGTTTGATGACACCAGAGGGTATCCCCATGTTACTATTTATATAATATATATATATACATATATCTGTACATATCTATATTCTATATTTTTTTCCCACATGGTTGGTTAAATCCCATTCAATCCCTATTATTGATGGTTAAATCCCATTAAATCCCATTAAATCCCTATTGTTGATTGCTAAATCCCACAAAATCCCATATTCATAATCCACCAATTGCTTGGGCTGGTCCCGCACCTGGCAGCATTCAGAAACAGCGAGGCACAGGCCAAGCGCTGCAAACGAGCTACCTGCGGCCAAGAACGAAGGGAAAACCTGCAGAAAACCCCTCTCTTCGATGGGGAATACCCGTGGTTTCTCCGATTTCCCAAGAATTTCTGGGTGTAACCCAAGTCGATGTTTCCCTGCGAAAAATGTGGATTTGTCATGAACCAACAAGGGGGATTTCACATCAACGTCGCTGGGGATTGAACTATTATAAGAAGGGTGGTTTGCTCAGGAAACCCCAATCCGTTGCAATTTTCATGGGACGATGATAAACCATGATAAACCATTGGATTTCAGGAAATGTTTTTGGACAAACCAATATAATACACAAGCACGTTGAAGCTACACATTCCACCTCTTCAAGGCTGGTTCTACGGATACTGGGGGATTCCCAGAAAAAGAGAAAAAAGTGAAATCATAATTCCCAACAAAGCAGGTAGGTTCACAACCCCCTTACTAATCAACATTAATCAGCCATCAACCATCATTTATCAATCCGCACATAGTTGATGGTTACAAGCCATACAGTTGATTGTGAAATCCCTATCAAAACTACCAAAAAAAGAGGGTGGCATCGACCACTCAGCCTCGCTCCCGCAGCTCTCTTCCGGCAAACTGAACCTCAGCTGGGTCTATGGAAGTTTCGCCATGGAAGTTCAGTCAACCTGGCAGTGGGAAAACCCGATCTTTTTATAGCAGAATCCTTTTAATCTTCTATATATAAATTGATATCACCCATTTTGTGAACAGAAACCAAGGGCACGGCCTCACTTCGCCACCAACGTTCGCATGTCAAGCGGTCGGATGTCACCCATCTCTCAGAAACCGCGCTTCGCTCCCTCTTAGCATCCCGCAAAGTCCATCAAAGATGCCCTTTGCTAATCAAACATGGCAAGAGAAAATCCATCCATCCTGGATGATTTCCCCACCAAACTAAACTCCATGGCTAGTTCCGGGATTCCCATTGCCGTGTTTGATTACCAGAGGGTATATCCCACTATACAACCATAAAATATGAATGCTATATTCCATGACATTTCCATATATATTCCCCATTTGCAGGTTTCCTAAAATGGGGGTACCCCGGGTACCCCTAGTCATCATCCATTTTAAGAGGATTTTCCCTTAACCAACCAGCTATTGGGGTACCCATAGTGGATTTCCCCGTCACGTTGACACCGGAGGGTCACCCATTTGGGCCGGACACTTGCTGAGATACATCCCCAGCTGCTGTTTCACCTGGAGGCCCAAGAATCGCGAGGTTTAGCCATGAAAAATGGGGGATTTAGCCATTCAACATGTTAAACATGTGGAGAAAACCCATGAAACATTTCTTTTAACTAAAGCTTTTAACCATCAATCAATGGATTGTTTTTTTAATCTAACCTAGAAACCAAAGTGTCTCCCACCATTTTTGTGGTGGTGTCCTGCAAAAATCACGGAAAAAAAACGCAACGCAATGATAAATAAGTTTGTCCCACACCAAGGTGCTCAAAAATCTGATGCTTGCCAGGGTCACCTGCCTGAAAGACTGAAATTCATCGGGGATCATGATATTCAGATGTTCATACTTGAAGCACTGGTTTTATACAGTATTGACCGTCAATACATAGAGAGTGCAAAGCACCAAAAAACTGGGAAATTGATGGAAATTGAGGGATCAGTCATTTTTCCATTCAAAAGCTACGATTTTCCGATGCAGGCATGCACATCAATGACAACCAGCTCAATTTCGATTTTGATGTGAAGACTCAGGTTACCAGGACGGAATCATTTGTTCACCAAGCATGCTCCAGTCCCTGGTACAGCCGCCCTGCCAGCTGAATCATCAACCAACCAACCATCAGGTTTATCCCTAGAACCATCAATTCAATTACCATCTGGTTATTTAACATAGCCATGGAAAATCACCATTTTTAATGGGTAAACCATCTATAAATGGGTCATTTCCCATGGCTATGTTAAATAACCAGAGGGTAATTAATTCAAAATGATTGCTCAGGTCAAATGATCTAAATCTCTGGATTGATTAATGGGTAAATGATGGTCAATTGATGATTCAATGATGGTTACAATATGTTACAAATACTGATATGGCTGTGAGTCAAAACCCTGGGACCCTAAGTAGCATAAGTCATAGCTAGTTAATGGATCTTTATTATCTTTATTCCCCCAGTCATATGGTAACAATAGGTTTTGACCCATCCCCCATATTATCCTTTGGTTAGTTGATGAATGTCCGAAACCCTTCAGGCCTCCTGACCCGTCGTCCCGTCGTCCCGTCGTCCCGTCGTCCCGTCCTTCATGGCGCGGTCCAAGAGTTTGGCATTCAGCAAGTGCCGCTTGGCCCAGTCCGTATCTTGCTCTCCTCGGCTCCCGTGGTTCACTTGAATACTGGAAAATGCTGGAAATGATTCACTGAGGCAATATAAATTCAGTTGGATGCAGTTGGCATTCGAAAACTTTGGTAATGTAAACCATCTCTGATTGCTTTTTGAAGTTATAGTATAGCCTCTTTTGACATCATACAAGAACATTGATCATTGGCATGTCCAACACCGAAGTCTGGGCCGAGCATCTGTAGACCTCGTACTGGCGGTAGATGTTGAGCAGAGACACCAAGTCGCCTTCGTACACGGCGAAGGACTCCTTGCAGTTCTGCAATCGCTCCTGGCTATGGGAAAAAACTATATGCCAGAATCACAACTGCCAGCTGTCAGCTATAAGTCTAATATGTCTATAAGATGCTTCCAGGGCTGTCAACGACCGATGTCACACCAATTTCTGGGCCCAAACCTGGCCGTTTTGTGAAGGCCATTGGCCATCTGGTATGAAGGAAAGGGGCAATACTTCTGCCGAGACTACGGAAGCCGCACGCGCTGGTTTTCACCTGTGATGTGCCTGGAAATCTGTATGCAGAAAGCATCAACAGTGGCCGGTCCAACCAACCAAAGCCACATAGTGGAAGAGATGCTTTTACAGACACATGGCCACGCGCTCACACAAAGGGCGCACAGCTCAGACGGTAATTTCGGAGCTTGCTGCGAGCCCCAACTTCAAATTGGACTCGCTGTCAGGATAGATGCAGACGCCCAACAAGCTGGACAGGTGGACGCACTTGGATCCACTGGGGCATCCTCCCAAGATGCATGCCAGAGCGCAGTACTTGTCGCCCGAGCTGCTGTCCTGCAAGATGCACATAGGATGGGCGGTGGTTCCAGTTGGCACATCGGTTGGGCAAGAGCCGCTGTCACAGTGAGGGGCGCAGACGCTGCCGCCAGCACCCTCCACTTCAGCCTGAACCTCGTCGCTTTGGCAAGGAGGTTTCTCGTAGTGGCTCTTGCTTGGTGTTGGAGGGCTTGGTGGAGAGGGAGGAGATGGAGGAGAGGGAGATGGCCCACTGCCAGACACCACAGGGTAGGAGGCCTGGGACTTGATGCCACACTCACCTGGGCCTGGCTTGCCACGCTCAACCTTCACGAAGCCCTGCTCACCCCAAGTGGCTCCCCAGCTGTTCTTCACCTCACTTCATAAAATTGCACCAGTTTCAGGCAAAGAAAAAGCAACGACACTCATCGACACGACAGAAAGCATGAAAAAGACACCCCAGTTCACACTGGCAGCTGCAAGTTGTGGACAAAATTGCTTTGAACCAGAAGCTTCATGATTCAGTTTACCTACTACTTTGCCAAAAGTTTTGGGAAACCCGAAGGTCTGCGTTTCAAGACGTGTGCTTTGATGAGGACCCCACCAGCCAGTAGTCAGTGCCATCCTCAGTGCCATAGCCAACCACCAGCACGCCATGGTCCAACTTGGTGCCACAAGTCTTGGTGAGGACGCCGCTCTTGTACAGCTGAAATGCCATTTGATCAGCCTCAATGGCCACAGACACAGGCTGCTTGGCAACTGCATCCATCAGAGACTGCTCATCATCGGCCTTCACATCCACATAGCTCTTGACGCCATGAGCAGGGATACCCACAGTGCAACCGGAAGCCTTGCAGATGCCGTTCTTGGCAGTGTAGGGGTAGCTGTCCTCAGTGCAGACAGGGGCCTGCTCCTCATACTTGAAACCGTTGTCCATCAATCCACCACTGCAGCCCTGGTTTCCAAACTTCCTGGAGCAATCAACCAGCTGCTGCTCAGAAAGAGACACCAACTTGCCCGTGGCAATGGCCCAAGCGCCCTCCAACGCACCAGTGGTGCTGAAAGCCCAGCCTCAAAAAAAACGCAGCAAACAGGCACTCTCGAGGGTCAACCGAGATTTGGTCTAGGAGTCTAGAAGGCATTCTTGCAGAATTCTCATGCCCGTTCAATATGTTTCTTATCAAGACAAGGAAGCTACCAACTTGCTACCCCTTTGACAGAGAAAGAGGTCTTCAACTGGGGGTTGTTCAAAAAGCCTACGTCGTACCTACGTCTCTTCAAGGCATGGCACAAGATCCGCATTGCTTCTGGTTCTTCACGGCTGTCACCGCCTTGCTCCTCCAATCCACAGACTTTGGCAACGACGAGTTGCTCAACTTGTGGACGCCACCACTTGGCACGTTGCCCCAGATTGACCCGGGCATCATACCAAGTTTGCTCATCTTGAACTCATCCATGGACATGTCGGAAAACTCGTTGAGGCCCAGCTTGTAGGAATGGCCCTTCGCATTCTCACGCTGAATGTACTCGTAGTTCTCAGCAAAAGCCATGAAACGAGCCTCAGGCAAGTCGGGCAAATCAAGCAAGGGGGACAGGGACAGAGCTAGTTAGACAAGCTTGGACATCAGAAACATGGCAAGACTTTCACTAAATTTCTAGTGACTCGACTGTCTCTGTGTGTGTGTGTGCTGTGACTAAGATGTAGTGCTGTATTGGCGGCCCCACCTGCTTCTCGACAGGATCGTAGGACTTGCCGAAGTCCTTCAAGAACTGGTTGTAGGCATGCTGCACATCGTCACGTGGCTTCTGGGCATTCACAAGGGCCAAGGCACTCAAAGCGAACTTCAAAGTCTTCGCCATGGCACAAAACCTCTTCGGACAGAAGATGACTTTCCTAGCACTACAAGCTCCAAACCCCTACGGCAGACATGGTCTTTCAAGATGTAGCAAGGACAATCTTCTACAGAAATTCCAGATTTCGACACCACTCCAACTGGTCCTTCTATCTCAAAAAGATGATGAAATACATTGAAATACGCTTTATATTCGGGCTTTGAGCAACTCCAATGACTAAGCCTACAATCCACCACTGGACTGGCATCCTACTTCTCAATGAGACTAGGTGGCTAATTGGCTCATCCCCTTGACTCTATGATCTGCTTGGCAAGGTGTCAAAACGCAGTTGGCTCACGGACAGATTGGACCGGCTTTTTTTTCTGGCTATCTCACATCTGGCTCAAGCAGCACAGCAGGAGAGAGCATATCAGATTCGTCTGGCTATCCCGCTCTCATAGGAGGGAAGACCAGCTCAGACGGTAATTTCGGAGTTTGCTGCGAGCCCCAACTTCAAATTGGACTCGCTGTCAGGATAGATGCAGACGCCCAACAAGCTGGACAGGTGGACGCACTTGGATCCACTGGGGCATCCTCCCAAGATGCATGCCAAAGCGCAGTACTTGTCGCCCGAGCTGCTGTCCTGCAAGATGCACATAGGATGGGCGGTGGTTCCAGTTGACACATCGGTTGGGCAAGAGCCGCTGTCACAGTGAGGGGCGCAGACGCTGCCGCCAGCACCCTCCACTTCAGCCTGAACCTCGTCGCTTTGGCAAGGAGGTTTCTCGTAGTGGCTCTTGCTTGGTGTTGGAGGGCTTGGTGGAGAGGGAGGAGATGGAGGAGAGGGAGATGGCCCACTGCCAGACACCACAGGGTAGGAGGCCTGGGACTTGATGCCACACTCACCTGGGCCTGGCTTGCCACGCTCAACCTTCACGAAGCCCTGCTCACCCCAAGTGGCTCCCCAGCTGTTCTTCACCTCACTTCATAAAATTGCACCAGTTTCAGGCAAAGAAAAAGCAACGACACTCATCGACACGACAGAAAGCATGAAAAAGACACCCCAGTTCACACTGGCAGCTGCAAGTTGTGGACAAAATTGCTTTGAACCAGAAGCTTCATGATTCAGTTTACCTACTACTTTGCCAAAAGTTTTGGGAAACCCGAAGGTCTGCGTTTCAAGACTTGTGCTTTGATGAGGACCCCACCAGCCAGTAGTCAGTGCCATCCTCAGTGCCATAGCCAACCACCAGCACGCCATGGTCCAAATTGGTGCCACAAGTCTTGGTGAGGACGCCGCTCTTGTACAGCTGAAATGCCATTTGATCAGCCTCAATGGCCACAGACACAGGCTGCTTGGCAACTGCATCCATCAGAGACATGCTCATGCATCGCCCTTCATCACCCCCCCCCCCCCCCCCCCCCCCCCCCCCCCCCACCCCCCTCCCCCCCCCCCCCGCCCCCCCCCCCCTCCTACCCCCCCCACCCCCCCCCCCCCCCCGCCCCCCCCCCCCCCCCCCCCCCCCCCCCCCCCTCGCCCCCCCCCCCCCCCCCCCCCCCCCCCCCCCCCCCCCCCCCCCCCCCGCCCCCATCCCCACATAGCTCTTGATGCCATGAGCAGGGATACCCACAGTGCAACCGGAAGCCTTGCAGATGCCGTTCTTGGCAGTGTAGGGGTAGCTGTCCTCGGTGCAGACAGGGGCCTGCTCCTCATACTTGAAACCGTTGTCCATCAATCCACCGCTGCAGCCCTCATTTCCAAACTTCCTGGAGCAATCAACCAGCTGCTGCTCAGAAAGAGACACCAACTTGCCCGTGGCAATGGCCCAAGCGCCCTCCAACGCACCAGTGGTGCTGAAAGCCCAGCCTCAAAAAAAACGCAGCAAACAGGCACTCTCGAGGGTCAACCGAGATTTGGTCTAGGAGTCTAGAAGGCATTCTTGCAGAATTCTCATGCCCGTTCAATATGTTTCTTATCAAGACAAGGAAGCTACCAACTTGCTACCCCTTTGACAGAGAAAGAGGTCTTCAACTGGGGGTTGTTCAAAAAGCCTACGTCTCTTCAAGGCATGGCACAAGATCCGCATTGCTTCTGGTTCTTCACGGCTGTCACCGCCTTGCTCCTCCAATCCACAGACTTTGGCAACGACGCGTTGCTCACCTTGTGGACGCCACCACTTGGCACGTTGCCCCAGATTGACCCGGGCATCATACCAAGTTTGCTCATCTTGAACTCATCCATGGACATGTCGGAAAACTCGTTGAGGCCCAGCTTGTAGGAATGGCCCTTCGCATTCTCACGCTGAATATACTCGTAGTTCTCAGCAAAAGCCATGAAACGAGCCTCAGGCAAGTCGGGCAAATCAAGCAAAGGGGACAGAGCTATCTCAACAAGCTTGAAATGTCAAACGGTGGCAAGGTTAAGTCTGGTGACGCTAGCCTCTGTGCTGTGACGACGTGTTAGGATATGGTATTCACTGTAGTCCTGTGGCCTTCTTCTAAAGCTGTTGAAAGAATGTCAGCTTCGGTTTTATTCACTGGCCCGTGGCAACCAAGACCCGCCTGCTTCTCAACAGAATCGTAGGACTTGCCGAAGTCCTTCAAGAACTGGTCGTAGGCATGTTGCAAATCATCACGTGGCTTGTGGCCATTCACAAGGGCCAAGGCACTCAAAGCGAACTTCAAAGTCTTCGCCATGGCACAAAACCTCGACAGAAGATGACTTTCCTATGACTGCAAGCTCCAAAACCCTGCGGCAAAAATGGTATACGTGTAAAATCTCTGCAGTCCCGCACAAATGAGTCATGAGTATATATTATCTGAAAACACATGGATATCTAATTCTTTATTGACATATATAATTCATTTACGATTACACCTTCCGCAAGAGTTCAAGATGTCGTTTGCAAACGACTGCACTACTCCAACGGTTCCTTCTATGTCCAAAACAGCACTCAGATCATGCATTGAACAATGACTGCGATGACTACACTATCAACACTGGACTTATTTTGGCACTGTGTCAAACACAGCTGGCTCACGGACAGATTGGACCGGCTTTTTTGGTCTGGCTATCTCACATCTGGCTCAAGCAGCACAGCAGGAGAGAGCATATCAGATTCGTCTGGCTATCCCGCTCTCATAGGAGGGAAGACCAGCTCAGACGGTAATTTCGGAGTTTGCTGCGAGCCCCAACCTCAAATTGGACTCGCTGTCAGGATAGATGTAGACGCCCAACAAGCTGGACAGGTGGACGCACTTGGATCCACTGGGGCATCCTCCCAAGATGCATGCCAAAGCGCAGTACTTGTCGCCCGAGCTGCTGTCCTGCAAGATGCACATAGGATGGGCGGTGGTTCCAGTTGGCACATCGGTTGGGCAAGAGCCGCTGTCACAGTGAGGGGCGCAGACGCTGCCGCCAGCACCCTCCACTTCAGCCTGAACCTCGTCGCTTTGGCAAGGAGGTTTCTCGTAGTGGCTCTTGCTTGGTGTTGGAGGGCTTGGTGGAGAGGGAGGAGATGGAGGAGAGGGAGATGGCCCACTGCCAGACACCACAGGGTAGGAGGCCTGGGACTTGATGCCACACTCACCTGGGCCTGGCTTGCCACGCTCAACCTTCACGAAGCCCTGCTCGCCCCAAGTGGCTCCCCAGCTGTTCTTCACCTCACTTCATAAAATTGCACCAGTTTCAGGCAAAAGAAAAAGCAACGACACTCATCGACACGACAGACAGCATGAAAAAGACACCCCAGTTCACACTGGCAGCTGCAAGTTGTGGACAAAATTGCTTTGAACCAGAAGCTTCATGATGCAGTTTACCTACTACTTTGCCAAAAGTTTTGGGAAACCCGAAGGTCTGCGTTTCAAGACTTGTGCTTTGATGAGGACCCCACCAGCCAGTAGTCAGTGCCATCCTCAGTGCCATAGCCAACCACCAGCACGCCATGGTCCAACTTGGTGCCACAAGTCTTGGTGAGGACGCCGCTTTTGTACAGCTGAAATGCCATTTGATCAGCCTCAATGGCCACAGACACAGGCTGCTTGGCAACTGCATCCATCAGAGACTGCTCATCATCGGCCTTCACATCCACATAGCTCTTGACGCCATGAGCAGGGATACCCACAGTGCAACCGGAAGCCTTGCAGATGCCGTTCTTGGCAGTGTAGGGGTAGCTGTCCTCAGTGCAGACAGGGGCCTGCTCCTCATACTTGAAACCGTTGTCCATCAATCCACCACTGCAGCCCTGGTTTCCAAACTTCCTGGAGCAATCAACCAGCTGCTGCTCAGAAAGAGACACCAACTTGCCCGTGGCAATGGCCCAAGCGCCCTCCAACGCACCAGTGGTGCTGAAAGCCCAGCCTCAAAAAAAACGCAGCAAACAGGCACTCTCGAGGGTCAACCGAGATTTGGTCTAGGAGTCTAGAAGGCATTCTTGCAGAATTCTCATGCCCGTTCAATATGTTTCTTATCAAGACAAGGAAGCTACCAACTTGCTACCCCTTTGACAGAGAAAGAGGTCTTCAACTGGGGGTTGTTCAAAAAGCCTACGTCTCTTCAAGGCATGGCACAAGATCCGCATTGCTTCTGGTTCTTCACGGCTGTCACCGCCTTGCTCCTCCAATCCACAGACTTTGGCAACGACGCGTTGCTCACCTTGTGGACGCCACCACTTGGCACGTTGCCCCAGATTGACCCGGGCATCATACCAAGTTTGCTCATCTTGAACTCATCCATGGACATGTCGGAAAACTCGTTGAGGCCCAGCTTGTAGGAATGGCCCTTCGCATTCTCACGCTGAATGTACTCGTAGTTCTCAGCAAAAGCCATGAAACGAGCCTCAGGCAAGTCGGGCAAATCAAGCAAGGGGGACAGAGCTAGCTCAACAAGCTTGGAAATGTCAAACGGTGCAAGGTTTAAAAGTCTGGTGACTCTAGCCTCTGTGCTGTGACGAAGGTGTAGATGGTACATGTGTCCTGTGGCCTTCTTCTAAAAGCTGTTGAAAGAATTTCAGCTTCGGTTTTATCACTGGCCCGTGGCACCCCGCCTGCTTCTCAACAGAATCGTAGGACTTGCCGAAGTCCTTCAAGAACTGGTCGTAGGCATGTTGCAAATCATCACGTGGCTTGTGGCCATTCACAAGGGCCAAGGCACTCAAAGCGAACTTCAAAGTCTTCGCCATGGCACAAAACCTCGACAGAAGATGACTTTCCTATGACTGCAAGCTCCAAAACCCTGCGGCAAAAATGGTATACGTGTAAAATCTCTGCAGTCCCGCACAAATGAGTCATGAGTATATATTATCTGAAAACACATGGATATCTAATTCTTTATTGACATATATAATTCACAGAGTGATGTTCGATCTACACTTCCCCCCATCATCCAAGCTTTGCTGTCAGATCATCCAACTAGCCTAGTCGGAAAATGCATCAGTTGGTACATTGCTGGTTTCCAGGCCTTGTTTTGGCTCGGAAGCCATGGTGGCTGCATCGTCAACATGGCACAGGCAATGGCAGCTTCCGCTGCACATTGGTATGGCGCCTCTGCAGCGTGGAAACCCATCATTGAATGATCTAAAGCATTCTAAAGCTCCCAACCAGAGAAATCCCAACCAGATTTCCCAACCATCATTATGGGTTCATGGTGGTTTACCCATGGTTTTACCCATGTGGAATCCCCATGGGAAATCCTCAGCCCCGACCTCCACCGAGAGCAGCAACAGGCGCATCAAGGGCGCAGGCAAGGGACCATGGGCCATGCGCAGGCCCAAAGGTTCCACCAGGCGCGCCTGGATCGGAAGTCCATGGCCCTAAACCATGGCCATACCTGGGGAATCACTAGGAAAAACCCACATGAAATTGCCATAGACCCAGATGAAATCCCCTCTGGTTAGATCAATGGCTTGCAAACCACTCAAGTAGATCAATGCAGGGCAACATCGACCGGTTGGTGAATGATGCAACTGTTGAGGTCGAAGAATCCACGGTGGATTTCAATGTGTCCACATCATGATAGATTGAAACTGTGTCCAAAGGTTAAAACTCCATCATGGATGTCCGATACCCTTTGGGAATTGTTGATTTTCCCGTTCAAACCTCATTTATAGTTGACGTTCCTATTAAACCCTCCATTTAAGGGTGATGTTCAATTGTCATGTTTCATTGCCAGAATCATCAGCCCGGATTTTTGGCACCTCCGCATCAATGGCGCCCAAGGCATAAAGCTCCTGGTGGTTGAGCTAGCCCCATTAAAAATTGGAAAGTCATGGGGGAGAAAATCATCAAATGTTCAATTTCTGTGGTTGAAAAGTTGACAATATGTGAAAAATAATTGAAACCACCAAGCAAAAAAAGTCGTGTTGACTTTTCAAGAGGTTTGGGTTTTCGATCCTTCTGTCAAATGGTATAAGACAAAGTGTAAGACCGATGCCCTAAAAGCCTTTCCGTCAAGAGTCAATGGTAATTTGAGCTGGCCAGAATTGGCTGAAGGAAAATGTTCACCATGTATCGGTGGTAAATCATAAGGCGTTCTTGGCCCACCATTTTGAACAGGGCCAAACCCAATTGATTGATGCTTTAAACTTTAAAACCCCAATTTTCCCATGATTCATCATCATTTTTCCAGTTTTTCCCCATTGACATGGCCATTTTCGGTGAAAATTCCCCGGCTGTTCCGCAGCCCGGGTGCTTCCAAGGCTAACTCCAGGGTTTCCCTGGCAGGTGGAGTGGGAAATTCGAAGGCGCCCACATCCTGAGTTGGGTGACCATCGATCATTGTTCATCATGGGATACCATTGTGCTCGATGAAAGCATGCAATGACCATGATGACCCCTCTTTTTGTTCTTCATTTGGAGATTTATGTAAGCTACTGTATCATGTATGAAAAATTGCACATGTTACATGGCATATAACCTATCCATAATTTGGGACTGCTGTACCAAAAATGTCTGTAGCAAGTTTTAGATTCTTTTGTTCTTCCTATCGGAGACAGGTTCATGCCGCAACGGGCACGCACTAATTGCAACTGCGATCGAAACTTCAAATAGGTAAGTTCTTGGACAATTGGGACTTTGCAAAATCATGTCCTGTCTTACCTCATGAATTTCCGAACCGGATGTATGATCCCCAATGTGTTTGGTTCCAAAAACAAGTTCACTTGGGATTGTCTGAAAACAGGGTAGCCTATTCTATCCCATGGTTTCAAACCTCATTTGTTTCCGTATTTTTCCCATAGCTAGGGGGTGAAATCCCCCTTTTCTGGACAACTCCAGGCCTCAAATTGGGTCACCGCACATCCACCCCCAAGCACTTCAGAGTGAGCACCAGATCCTGCGTCACCAAGTGGCTTCGTTCATAACTTGGACCGACCATTAAATGTCAATTAATATGGCTTCATCCTGGAGTGGAAATCGAAGATGGAAATATTGGACATGTCAAAGAAATCATAAAAACAAGATGGGAATATGTTGGAAAAAACCATATTCTATCTACTTCGTGATGACTCTATGTATGTATGTATATATATATATACTTCTATGTATGGCAATCTTGACTGGAAATGCTGAAATAGTGATACGCCACAAGCACTAAATTCACTCAATGGATCCAAACGGACCATCAAATGGACTTGTCGCCAGACCCAAACCCAGCTGGGAAACCCATCTGAGCCAACCCCAAAATGCAGAGCTTTGGCATGTCGCTGAAATTTGATCTTGTAAAATCCAAACAAATCCATCGCATTTCCAGCAGTCGCACTTTTCCAAAATTTCTCCAGCATCTGTCTCGATCGACCAACGAACATCCTTCAAATCCGAACGTTGGACTTCTGGCAAGGTGTGCTCTTGCAACTCCTCCAACGGAGGCCCAGGTAACGGATCAACGGTCGGTGTTTTGTGTTTTTGGGAGGGGAGTACCTTGCATTGGCAAAGGGTACTTGGAGTTATAATTACTTCATAGATCTTAATAGTTATAATCTCAGTTCTTCAGTTGTGCAACTATCACGATCTCCGTTAGGACTGGATCGAATCGCAGTTCTTGGGGTCTAAAAAAGTCCCGGGCCCTTCCAAGTGGCTCGGCTCTTGCTCCTGACGTTCCAGTCGCACCAGGAAATGTAACATTGCAGGATGGGTATATTACTAGGAGAAGTGTTGGCAATTCCTTGACTGACTCCCAAGGTCCATAGCTTCCGACGGGGTGATGTTATCCCAGGCATCCCAGGTTAGAATTAAATAAGTCATAAAGTTCCAAACTTGGGTCCCAAAAAAAAACTAATCTTTCAATCCAAAAAATGGGGGAGCTCCAGCCTTGTGGAAAGCCGCCTCGGTCAGGAGCCTGTGGCCCGATTGCGAAGATGGCTGACGCTACTGGCAATCTGATTGGGCTCCACATTCAACTTCAAATGATTGGCATGATTGGCATCAAAAAAAGCAATCCCCAAACAGTGCAAACAGCTATCCACCAGATCCCTGTCACCTGAAGCAGTGGCCCTTCCGCGTGCGGCCCGCTCGGCCAGCACGTTGACCTTTGCTGACTTTCAGAGAGGATGATATGAAAATCCCACAGAAAAATGGCATGTTTCGATGGGTTTTCATGATATTTTCGAAAAATAGGGAGTCTCCGTTGCCATGAGCTATGTGAAAAATTGCCGGTCTTGAAGGGATCAACCAATTGTTGCTGACATCATCTTCCCATGCTCATTGCGAAAAAGGTCCCAATAGTCCCAGAAAAGTCAAATGACTGTGCCTCAAAATCATGTTGGCAGCCATTTCTTCCTAATTCCTAATTGATCTCCTCACTTTCACAGCTAAACTCCCAGAGGTACCTCAGCATCCAGATGGATTTGTCTCATAATTTTCCCACTGTTCTCTAAAACCTTGATTCTCGCAATGTTTTCCCATGGTTTCCCTCTAAAAAGTGCCAATTTTTGAGCAATTTTTGGAGGTATCCCGCTATCCCCCCAGATTCAGACCCCTGACCCTTGACCTCCCCTCCGTCCCCGCACGGGCCGAGCTCCGCGAACAGGCGGCGATGTTCAGATAGGAGGCGCCATTGTAGGGGCAGAAGGCGTCCAACCTGAGCTGAGAATGAATCGAATGGAGAAAAAGATGGGAGGTAAGTCCAGTTAAGTGAGTCGATCAACAAAATTTGGCAGAATTAGCGCAAACATTGTGGAGAAAGGCCGGCGACGACGAATTTTGGATGGCTGTTTGGAAAACAAAAACGGCGCCCCTAATTCCAATGCTGACCCAGGTCATGGTCAATTGGGTAAGACAATCAACTGGGGAAGCAGTCCCCTAATGGTGATACTCCATGATACACTCTGGAAATTTACCATAGCTATGGAAAAAAATCCATTTAGTATGTAGTTCAATGATTTACTTGATATACATGCTGATATTCCAGTTCGCTAGGCAACAAATTAACAAATCGAGAGGGTATTCTCCATGATATTGTTGGTGAGTATGATCCCTGAACTCATCATCAACCAACCAGCGTTTAGTCTCGCCGCCGCCGCGCACTTGGGCAGGTCACTTGACAAGGCAGCTATCCACCACGTAGACAATGCCATCAATGGTCACCTTGGATGGGACCAACAACAACCCTCCGGATGATGTGACTGGGGATTCTTATGGGCATATTTCATTAGCATAACCAACAATGTGGATGTATGTAAGCAATGAATACGATCCAGATTTCTTTCACATAGATATGGAAAACCCACCATTTGTAGATCATGTTCGTTGGGCAACCGCAGGTTTTTCCATATCTAGCTCACTCCAAAATCTGCTTGGCTTCCACGCATTGTCCAAGCTCCCAAACAAAATTCACCAAAGCTAAGTTCCCACTCTCTTCGCGAGTGTTTCCGGCAGTTCACTGAACAGGCATCCACAGAAACTAGCAAGAAACTACTGCATTCCCGTAAAATCCCATGGAAATCCCGTCTAGTCAGACTTTGTTGAGCCACACTGGCTTCTGCGATGTTGGTCGCAACCACCACCTTGCGGTTGCCCTTGGCCGGCATCACAAAGGCCTTCGCGCATGATGACCCCCTTTCTGTCGTTCGATGGATTCAACAATCTGAATACAGTTATATAATCATAAATCATGACATATTAATGATTTCCTAATAATTATGATCTCTTTTCCCTTATGATCCATACATATTGATGAATACAATATGAATAATATAGATTTCCCTAATGGATTCCGGGGTTTCTATCGCAGCCGCCTTCAGCTGCTGCTCCTTTGGCAGCGTGCCATGCAACGGTACCTGCGCAGATCTGCAGCTCCGGCGCAAGCTCAGTGAGTTGTTCACCGGGTCAGTTTCCGCCCAAAAAGCAACTTGAGAGGGGGAACACGAAAGGTAGGTAAGCAAGAAAGGAACCGAAGAAAAAATGAAGGGGAAAGGGCAGGGAAAAAAACATAAAGTGGATTCTGGTAAAAGCGACGCGGCCATTATCTTTCCAAAAATATGAAGGGGAGTCTGGTAAAAGCCACTGAAAGGCTTCGGCGATGTGGTTAGGGTTGGTGGTAGTTGTGGTGTTGGTGGTGTTGGTGCTGTTGATGGTGTTGGTGTTGTTGGTGTTGTTGGTATTGGTGTTGTTGGTGTTGTTGGTGGTGGTAGTGTTTCTGGTGTTGTTAGTGTTGTTAGTGTTGTTGGTGTGGTTGGGTTTGTTGGTGGTGTTGGTGTTGTTGGTCGTGTTGTTGGTGTTGGTATTGTTTGTGTTCCTGTTGTTGTCGTTGTTGTTGTTGTTGCTGCTGTTGTTGTTGTTGTTGCTGCTGCTGCTGATGGTGTTGTTGTTGTTGTTGTTGTTGTGTGTTGTTGTGTGTTGTTGTGTGTTGTTGTGTGTTGTTGTGTGTTGTTGTGTGTTGTTGTGTGTTGTTGTGTGTTGTTGTGTGTTGTTGTGTGTTGTTGTGTGTTGTTGTGTGTTGTTGTGTGTTGTTGTGTGTTGTTGTGTTGTTGTGGTGTTGTTGTGTGTTGTTGTGTGTTGTTGTGTGTTGTTGTGTGTTGTTGTGTGTTGTTGTGTGTTGTTGTGTGTTGTGTGTGTTGTTGTGTTGTTGTGTGTTGTTGTGTGTTGTTGTGTGTTGTTGTGTGTTGTTGTGTGTTGTTGTGTGTTGTTGTGTGTTGTTGTGTGTTGTTGTGTGTTGTTGTGTGTTGTTGTGTGTTGTTGTGTGTTGTTGTGTGTTGTTGTGTGTTGTTGTGTGTTGTTGTGTGTTGTTGTGTGTTGTGTGTGTGTTGTTGTGTGTTGTTGTGTGTTGTTGTGTGTTGTTGTGTGTTGTTGTGTGTTGTGGTGTGTTGTGTGTTGTTGTGTGTTGTTGTGTGTGTGTTGTTGGTGTGTTGTTGTGGTGTGTTGTTGTGTTGTGTTGTTTGTGTGTGTTGTTTGTTTGTTTTTGTGTGTGTGTTGTGCGTTTTGTGTGTTGCGTGTGTTGCGTGTGTTGTGTGTGTGTTGTGTGTGTGTTGTATGTGTGTTGTGTGTTGTTGTGTGTGTTGTTGTGTGTTGTTGTTGTTGTTGTTGTTGTTGTTGTTGTTGTTGTTGTTGTTGTTGTTGTTGTTGTTGTTGTTGTTGTTGTTGTTATTGTTGTCATTGTCGTTGCTGTTGTAGTTGTAGTTGTTGTGTGTTGTTGTGTGTTGTGGTGTGTTGTTGTGCGTTGTGGTGTGTTGTTGTGTGTTGTTGTGTGTTGTGTGTGTGTTGTGTGTGTTGTGTGTGTTGTGTGTGTGTTGTGTGTGCGTGTGTGTTGTGTGTGTGTTGTGTGTGTGTGTTGTGTGTGCGTGTGTGTTGTGTGTGTGTGTGTTGTGTGTGTGTGTTGTGTGTTGTGTGTGTTGTGTGTGTTGCGTGTGCTGTGTGTGTGTGTGTTGTGTGTGCTGTGTGTGTGTTGTATGTGTGTTGTGTGTTGTATGTGTGTTGTTGTTGTGTGTTGTTGTTGTTATTGTTGTCATTGTCGTTGTTGTTGTAGTTGTTATGGTTGTTGTGGTTGTTGTGGTTGTTGTGGTTGTTGTGTGTTGTTGTGTGTTGTGGTATGTTGTTGTGCGTTGTGGTGTGTTGTTGTGTGTTGTTGTGTGTTGTGTGTGTTGTGTGTGTTGTGTGTGTTGTGTGTGCGTGTGTGTGTGTGTGTGTGTTGTGTGTGTGTTGTGTGTGTTGTGTGTGTTGCGTGTGTTGCGTGTGTTGTGTGTGTTGTGTGTGTTGTGTGTGTATTATGTGTGTTGTGTGTGTGTGTGCTGTGTGTGTTGTGTGTGTTGTGTGTTGTGTGTGTGTGTGTTGTGTGTGTTGTGTGTGTTGTGCGTGTGTGTGTTGTGTGTGTTGTGTGTGTTGCGTTGTGCGTTGTGCGTTGTGCGTTGTGCGTTGTGCGTTGTGCGTTGTGTTGTGTTGGTGTTGTTGTTGTTGTTGTTGTTGTCGTCGTTGTTGTTGTTGCTGTTGCTGTTGGTGTTGTTGTTGGTGTTGGTGTTACCCCTGCAGCGTTTTTGCTCGGTTCCGTAGTGGCCGAAAATCGTCAAATCGGTGGTGTTTTCGCGTGTTTTTGCAACTCTCGGAGCAAAAAACACCGTAAATACCAATGTTTTTGGCGGGTCGGAAGCCCAAAACCACGGTATTTACGATGTTTTTTGCCTCTGGTAGTAAAAAGCACGGTATTTACAGTGTTTTTTGGCCAGCACCTAGCAAAAACACTGGTATTTACGGAGGTTTCACCATGTAGCAAAATGTGGTTTCTTGATCCGAAAAGAACAAAAATACTGTAAATTACAATGTTTTGAGTCTGCTCTTAGGGTGCGTGGGAGGTGTGGAGGGGGGGGGGACTAAAATGACTAGCAATCTCCTGAAGAATCAGGTAACGGGGCTGGCCGCCCTCCCCTTTACTTCGTAAAGTAAAACTCAAGGTAGCCCCTCTGGAGCTACCTTTCGTGATTTTGATTCAATGATTTCCCAATTACTCTCTGGTAATTTGGTACATAGCTATTGAAAAATGCACCTTTTATAGTTGATTGACCTATTAAAAATGGTGATGTTCCAGTTCGCAAACTGTTGACCAGAGGCTTAAAATGCTGATGTTCCAGTTCGCAAAAAAGGCGCAACATCTCAGGGATACGGTAAAAACTGGTTCTTTTCGGCGCACCACTTGAAGCGGCTTTGGCTTCAAGGACGGCCTGTCGGCCATCTCCTTCGCCTGGGTCCCGTACATGGGGGGTTCAATGGGCATCCCCAAGTCACCATGGTCGTCTCAATACTAAGTCATGGTCATCCATGACTTGAATGATTTGGAGGTACCCCAATTTTAGGATATTTTAGGAAATCTCCAAATGGATATTAGAAAGGGTGTGTGTTTTTTCCATTGCCAGGCTATGAGAACATGATTTTCGAGGCAACACATCTGGTTACTTGTTCTAAGCTGGATATCCCGAACAAATCCTCCCGTCATCTGAGATGTTCCTCCCGTTGGAGCGGATAATGACTTGATCCCCATCTCATTTCGCAGCACTCTTGTCGCAAAATAATCAAATCTTAAAGTAGGCTACATGAATTTTATTCTTGGTAGATTATTTTTTGTGGTTTTTTAGGTTATGTCAAAAAATGTTATCAAATCATAAACAAGTACATAAATCATCATAAATCATCAGACAATATGACCTACCCCTTTTCAACCAGCAGGGCTGCAGGTTTCCTCCCGCATCCCGTGCCACGCCTGTTGGAGTCTTTCAATGATCAGCGAGCAGGTGGCCTCAATCTCCTCATGGCCAAATCAGAAAATCACCGTTTCTGTACAAATGGGGAGTGGTAATCTAACATCATTTGGCATGGAAGCCATGGAAAATGAGATATTATATATATATGGAATATATATATATATATATGTGGAATATATATATATATATATGTATATACATAAACCACCCATCTGTATATCACCCAACCTGAGAAGGGAGGAACGAAAGCCAGGAGCTTGGTAGTAAGAAGGGAAGGAAGGGCTGGCTTTCGTAATAATTACGAGGATGATGATGACGACGATGATGATGATGATGATGACGATGATGATTATGATGATGATGATACATTGCTAGAACTGATGCTAGTGTAGAACGATCTTTGTTGTTGCCATGATTATTGGTTGTGGTTCATAGATTCAGCACTTACCCCCATTGGTGGGTGACTTCCCGCAAAGCCTAACCGCAACACCTTGGCCCGAATGGCATTGTTTATGAAATGTTCGATATGCAAAATGGGAGTAGTGGAAAACCAAGTGCTTCTGCGGATTCCGAGCCGTGACTCAAGGTGAAGGAATCCCGGAACAGGTCTGTGGCGCGGTCACGGCACCCATGTCAGCTTTTCCGGCGGTCAGAGGTATCTGGAAAACATCAGCAGGCGCGATTCAGTAGGCCGGAGTATCTGCTGGAACAGTTGGATTTTTTTCAGAAATCGAGGTCCCATATTTCAAAGTGACATGTTGGCTCACGAAGGTGAAAATGGAAGTAAAGTCACGCAAAAACAGATTGAAAACACGAGATCCAAATTGCAATGGTCAAATGATCTTCCTTTTGCATGCCCGTAAAAGGGATGAATTTAAGCATGTTTGATGCGAGGATGACTATTATTGTGTAAGCCATAGCACGATTACCAGCATATCATATATACAATGACATAGCATCATTCTACCATTGACTGATCATCAAGTAACTAGCAGCCATAATCATCGAGCAGCCATAAGTCACCCATCATTTTACCATAGATTGATAGATTATGATGTAGTTTCACCATTTGACTTATGGATATAGTAATCCATAATGGGATAGTAATCCAAAAGGATTATAGTTTCACCATTTGGGGATGACTATGAGTATAAGAACTAGTAGCAAGCGATGGTAACCATCAGGTCAGTCACAGCTGGAGCTGCTTAGCAGCAGCCGCTGGACTTCTTCTTCTTGCTTTTTTTGCTGGCCCTGGCCTGGAAAGTTAACGGCCGCGTTTCAGTTGTATAATGGGGACGCGATGTCACATTCGTAAAACGATGGAAAGACTTTGTTTGAGATGTATATTCATATACATATATACAGATGTATTCATGGTTGTGTATATATATGGGGGTTGTCCAAAATACCTTTTCCCGGACAGCCCTCAATCGCCCAGCCAATCGCGTAGCAACCGCGGTGCCACAGTGAGCAATCGCGGAAAGGATTGTTCTTCGTTGATCAGATCATATACATAAAATAGAAGGTATGTATTATATAATGAATCGTGATAAAAATCTGATGCTAATTCTTTGTAATATCATTGCTTTTCTGCTGAATTTGAAACATGTTTGCCGTCTCAGTAGGGATCCATGCGTGAACGCATGTGATTTCAAATTTGGGAGCAAAATAAGCTTGTGCGGTCCGGAAACGGTCCGGAACACTCACAGTAGCAGTAGTGGTAGAAAGAACAAAGAAATACTTTCGGCGCAGCAGCACTGCGTGGAGACGGACTGCAAGAAGATGACATCATAGGAGCAGCATCACGGCGTGGAGATTGACGGCAAGAAGATGACCGCAGAGAAACAGCCACGCCGCATGCAGAGCGACTGCGAGAAATTGATCTCATAGAAGAAGCAGAAGCAGGCACCAAGACGACCTGAGCATGTTTCCTGCCGGAAGCGCCGGAAGCACCAGCTCAGATCGTTCCTAGCAAGCAGAGACATAAGCCTGATATTCTGTAAGATGCAAACCCGTTTCGAGCGGCGGCCGTGGCCTCAAGATGCAGTTGGGGTAGGTTGTGTTGTCAAGGCAGTCAGCACGCTGCAAGATGGTAGCCTTGGAAAGCAGTTAGAGGAGGGCTGCGATATCCTGGCATCACAGCGAGAGTTAATGCAATCAGAAGTTGGCAACAGAAGTTCCTGTCTTTGAATGACAGAAGCTTTCTCTCAAGAAGATGTTGCAAAATGGCAATAGTTGCTGTCACGGCAGTCTGCACGCTTCAAAACCATTGCCTTGGAAAGCAGTTTGAGGAGGGTTGCGATGTCCTTGCATCACAGTGAGAGCTAATGCAATCAGAAGTTGGCAACAGAAGTTCCTGTCTTTGAATGACATAAGCTTTCTCTCAAGAAGATGTTACAAAATGGCAATAGTTGCTGTCACGGCAGTCTGCACGCTTCAAAACCATTGCCTTGGAAAGCAGTTTGAGGAGGGTTGCGATGTCCTTGCATCGCAGTGAGAGCTAATGCAATCAGAAGTTGGCAACAGAAGTTCCTGTCTTTGAATGACATAAGCTTTCTCTCAAGAAGATGTTACAAAATGGCAATAGTTGCTGTCACGGCAGTCTGCAGGCTTCAAAACCATTGCCGTGGAAAGCAGTTTGAGGAGGGTTGCGATGTCCTTGCAGCACAGTGAGAGCTAATGCAATCAGAAGTTGGCAACAGAAGGAGAGCTAATGCAATCAGAAGTTTGCAAGTTTGCACTAGCTTTTTTCAGGACGTAAATGTTGGATTGATGCAAAGCTTCCAGCCTCTGAAGGCCGTCAGTGGAGGGCACGATTCGCCTCCCACGAAAACTTGCAGCACATGTACATTCCCTGAAAAACATTTCGCGAGCCGCCTCGGCGACCAGAGAATCCCAGAGGTGCTTCCGTCATAGCCACTAACTTATCCGTGTGCTTTTTAGAAGTCTTTTTGACGTCAAAATAAAGGAACTAAAAGTTGCCTCTGTTTTTTTCCCGAACTGGCTCATGCGCCTGTTAGAGTGCTTGGACGCCTGTTCTATCACCGTGTATGGCAGACCCTTTGCTTGATATGAAATATTGCAGAATCACATGGAAGGCAGGTTTCGGCAACTGCTCTCAAGGTTGCCATCGCTGCACAATTGAAAGACTTGCTGGTTGCTACTCCAAAACGCTATCCCCAAAAAGTAGCCTGTTTTCTTTGGAGAACGTCTTGCTGCCATGCCTTGCCATTGTCAGGAACCCGCCGTGTTGTCGGCACCGTTCCGTTGAAAAACCAAATGCCTAGACTCTTACATCTAGCCGGTCGCTTTGCCTTCAGCGAGTCTGGAGCCATGCCGTCGCCGAGATGGTTGCAAGAGCGGTGTTGTCTGTCACTCCTTCCAAAGTCATTTCCAGATGCGTCTCTTGCAGCGTAGCAAGCCAGCGACCCAACTCCGATGGAGGAAAAGGTGGCGTGTGGCGAATGTACTGGGCACCTTGACACTTCTCCACCACAATCATATCCTTTGTCACATAGCAACCAGTCCAATCATGAAGAATGGTACGGTAGGGCCATGTATGCCCCGACAAAGTCAGTTGGAGCTGCCCATGATCTTCTCGCAGGGTGAGATGGCAGCGCCGTTCCACCGTGCCAAGGCTTGTCCACGGCACCTGCGGGCAAGGCAGGTTATCCACTGTCACGGGGAGGCTCCGCTTGCCCATGCACCAATGTCTTGGTCCGAACGATTGTGTAAGTAGATAGTGCTCACGTTGGATTGGCCAGCTTCACTGCACCAGGTCTGAAAATTTTCCCAGAGTGACAGGGCATTCTCTAGATTGCAGCCGGACGTGATCAGTGTCCGGGTGTATCCCGGCGCTGGCCCCATTCGGTGATAAATCCCAAAGCTGGAGAGAAGTGTGGAGTCATCCATGTTTTCCTTGGTCAGGAACTCCTTCCAGTGCTGCTGATGGCGCCTACTGGAACACTGCCATCCAACGCCATATCCATGATCATCTTCACTGAAACGCTCGCTCAGCACGCAGGCAGCGCGTGTAAGCATGTAAATGACAACATGCATCGTGGAGTCATCCGTCCATGAGCTGCCCGAACTCAAAAGACCTCCTACCGGAGCAGAGATACGCTGTGGCTTCATCACACGCTTCCGAGGCGACACCTGCAACACAAGTGAGCAATTGAGCTGCAACATCATGAGCAGTAGCATCAGTCTCGTCAGGTTCACAAGTAGTGTCGTCGTCAGCATCATTATCATCCACATGAAAAGCGTCGTCGTAATCACCATGATCATGATGATCATTTGCATAAACATCATCGTAATGATCGGCAGCCACGACGACAGGTAGCAAAATGGCAACGAGCAACGTTGCCAACACAAAGAATTCCACGCCGGCCTGGTTGGCAGGCTGGTCAGGAATGGCTGCCGCACCGAAGGCCTGCCGGGAAAAAAAGCTGTATTCGCAGTCGTGTCCTGCAGCACACACCAAAAGCATTTCTTTCGAGGCAAAAATGTTGAGGGCCCAAAGCAAAGAACGCACCTGATTGACACCCATAGGCTGCCCAGGCATGCGCACCTAGCAAACGCACTGACCACCGGGTACGCATACGCGAAAGAAAGCAATGTGACTCTGTCAAGGCACTGTCAAGGCACAGTCAAGGCACATGCCCAACTCCCGACGACCAAAGTCATAGTCTAGTATTGCCCGAAAAGAAAACGGCGCCTGCTTGACACCCACAAGCGGCGCCGACACGCTCGCCTAGTCAACACAATGGCAAAGAAAGCTGAAAACTTCAAAACAAAAGCAAGCTTCATGCGGAACTTTCTTGCCTTGGCAGGAGCGATCAGGGCAGCAGAAGCCTGATAGAAGTCACAAAAATCACTGCAAGGGAAAGCTGCTACAACATGACGAGGATGCCGAAGAACCTGGTCGTAGAAACTTTAGACTGGCACAGCATGAGCGCAGGCCTGCTTAGGCAACGAAGGATTCATAGCGCTGGTTGCCTACCAAAAGCAAAGCACAATGAATGCATCAATTGTTTATTCAGGAAATGCTAGCAAGCACAATGGCTAATTACGCGGCCGAAAAGAAAAAGAATCTGACTCCAACCTGGGGTGTAGAAGTTCCAGGCGCATGCGCCTTGAAAGGGGCGCCAGGACAAACACAGCCCGCAAGCAATTGTCAGCACACATGGACGCAAACAAACGCTACAACATGCATCAAGACGCAGCAAAGCTTTGAACAGACAGCCAAAAAAGCGGCATCCGACCTGGATCGCGTGCACTGCCGCTGCACTTTGTTGCAAGGTGAACCCAGAGGCCTGACTATAGCCATGTAACACCAACAGCCCAGATGGCATTCATATAACACTGCTCCGCATCAGCTGCCATACTCTTGTGTTGCAGCCGCAAGATGCCACCTGCAAAGCTGTTAGCAATGCCACTGCCACAGGCGGCAGAGCTGCAGCTAACGGAGAAGCTTCGGCAGCCTGACTTGCAAACCATCTATACAAGTGTTGCAGCACTCTCACCCACATGTCACGTACTGACTGCAACCATGCCAGACATCCAGCAAAGCTGAAGACGTTGTTCAAACATCACATCTGAGGGCAGGCCTTCAACTGCCACAATTCCGCAGGTGGGTCCGAGGTCACACATCATGCAGGTATCCAACAGCCAAGAATGCTGCATTCAGGATTTGAGCATCCGGCCGGAATGGACGCAACGGCCGAAGGGGCCACAACTTCCTCGTGGCAACAGGTCTGCGTCAAAACAACCCAGGCAGCCGAAAGGAGAAGAAGGCGAGCGCGTAGGGCAAACAGAGTTAGCAAGGCGACCCTTGAAAGCTGGGCGTGCGAAGTCCGAGTTGGTGAGGCGACTTTTTACAGGCGTAGTTGGAGATCCAACCCGAAGAATCGGACATGACACTTAACGACGACGACATCGACTGAAAGCTTCTCATGCACTATTGAAACCATCTGAAACGAACGGAATAGCTCAAAAAGCCGACTGCAGTGTGATGATAAGACGTAGCAAAATCAAACGACATCACTGCAACAACATGTCAGACAATTCATCTGCAGAAATTCACTTGAAACAGCCTTCATGGTTGAAAGCCCATGTCTGCACTTAATAGCCCGACCTCTATGTGGCCAGCAGTGCCTGGCACGTCTCGGCACGGCTGCAATTTGTACATGCTGACATCCTATTGCACGCTCACTGCGAGACTTGTCACCAGTCTTGCACCTGCAATTGGGTGTGAAGCTGTAGCAGCGGACATCAGAGTCACCTGCACCGGGTCCCACCGACAAAGCATACTCGCAAGAAGCGCAGCGAAAAACCTGACCCAGACAAAATTGTTGTCCTCTGCTGCAACAAAGTACAAAACAATGCATTGCAAAAAGGCTATCAACCAAACCTTGGATGCAATTGGACAAGTGACAGCTGGGTCTGCAAGCAACAATCGACAAGTGTCCAGCCTCTGGCATTGCCCCTGGAGCCATCATGGGCATCAAGGGCGACAACGCCGCATCGCCAACAGCTGAGGCCTACTCAATAAGCATCACGACATGTTGGGGGTGGTGACGCTGCCGGTGAAGGCAACATGATTATGCTACCCAAAAAAGTTTCGAGAGGATCATCTGCGGAAATTCAAAGGCCTCCATGGTTGTCGAGCCCATCGCCATAGTTGATAGCAAGATTGGACAAGTGCCAGCTAGTTCTGCAAGCAACCATGGCCAACTGTCCAGCCTCTGGCATTGCCCCTGGAGCCATCATGGGCATCAAGGGCGACAACGCCGCATCGCCAGCAGCTGAGGCCTACCCAAGAAGCATCAGGACATGTTGGGGGGTGGGGACTCTGGTGGTGAAAGCAACATCAATGAAAAGTTTCGAGAACGATCATCTGCGGAAATGCAAAGGCCTCCATGGTTGACGAGCCCATTGCCGTAGGTGATAGCAAGACCTCTGTGTGGCCAGCAGCGCCTGCCACGTCTGGAAGGGAGGGCTGCAATTTGTAACATCCTATTGCACGCTCGCAGTGAAACTTGTCACCAGTCTTGCACCTGCAGTAGGGTTCGAAGCTGTAGCAGCGCACATTGTAGTCACCTATGCAAATCTGTGGACACAGCAGAGTCGCAAGGCGCACACGGAAAAACAGCCACGCAGACAAACTTGTTGTCCTCTGCTGCAACAAAGGACAGAACAACGCATTACAAAAGGGCTATCAACCAAACCTTGGACAAATTGGACACTTCACAGCTGGGTTCTGCAAACAACAATGGGCAACTGCCCGGCCTCTGGCATTGCCCCTGGAGCCATCCTGGGCATCAAGGGCGACAACGCCGCATTGCCAGGAGCTCCTGATGTGGTCTGCACGCAAGAAACAACCTGCACAACTAGCCACCGCATCTTTACCGAGCTTTACTCCGCATATAGGCCTGCACCAGCCACCACGACTTCAGGCATTGAAGGATGCCTATCCAACCGAAGGAATCCGAAAAGATATTAACATCGACACATCTAAGAATTGAGGGCCTCTGACATCGCTGCATAACCGATTGCGCACTCAGGATCTGAAAATTAAGACGAAGGTGCAGCATAAACGGACATGCTTTCATCCGCAGAAATTCACCTAAACCGGCCTCCGGGATTGAGGAGCCCATTGTTGCAGTGAATGGCGCAACATCTATGTGGTCAGCAACACCTGCCCCTTCCCAAAGGTAGAGCTGCAATGCGTATATGTTGACATCAAATTGCATGCTCACTGTTGCACCAGGGTTTCGCACCTGCCGCTGCAGTAGCAGCTGTAGCAGCCGGCACCGGAGCCGCCTGTCCCAAATCCGATACTTCGGGCACCGAAGATGCCTAGCCAATCCGAAGAATCAGAAAAGACCCTGACCTCTACACTTCTAAGAATTGAAGGACTCTGACATCGATTCGTAGCCAATTGTGAACTGATGATCTGAAAAACGAGGACGAATTTGCTGCATAAACTGACATGCTTTTATCCGCAGAAATTCACCTAAACCGGCCTCCGGGATTGAGGAGCCCATTGTTGCAGTGGATAGCGCCACGTCTACGTGGCCAGCAACACCTGCCCCTTCCCAAAAGTAGTGCTGCAATGAGTACAGTATATGTTGGCATCAAATTGCATGCTCACTGTTATGGCAGCGTTTCGCACCTGCCGTTGGATTAGCAGCTGTAGCAGCCGACATCAGAGCCGCCTGCCCCAAATCTGATGGAATCCAGTCATGACTTCTTTGTTTTTGACTTCGGGCACGGAAGATGCCTATCCAACCTGAAGAATCGGAAAAGACACTAAACTCGACACATCTAAGAATTGAAGGACTCAGACCTGGATTCATAGCCGCGTGTGAAATCATGATCTGAAGAAGGAGGACACAGTTCCAGCATGAAGTGACATGCTTTCCTCGACAGAAAATCACCTAAAACGGCCTCCGTGCTTGAAGCGCCCATCGTTGGAGTTGATAGCGCAACATCTACGTGGCCGGCAACAGCTGCCCCTTCCCAAAAGTAGAGTTGCAATGAGTATATCCTGATATCAAACTGCACACGCACTGTTTTGCCAGCGCTTCGCACCTGCCGTTGGATTAGCAGCTGTAGCAACCGGCATCGTAGCCGCCTGCCCCAAACCCGATGGAATCCACTACTGACTCGTTGTTTCGACTTCGGGCACTGAAGATGCCTAGCCAACCTGAAGCAACGGAAAAAACACTAAACGCTACACATCTAAGAATTCAAGAACTTTTACATCGATGCGTAGCCGATTATACCTCATGATCGAAACAATTCCGACCAATTTGCAGCATAGACTAACATCCCGTCATCCGCAGAAAATCATCTAAAACCGCCTCCGCGAGAGAAGAGCCCAGCGTTGCAGTTGATGGCGCAACGCCTATGTGGCCAGCAACACGTGCCCCTTCCCAAAAGTAGAGCTGCAATGAGTATATCTTGATATCAAAGTGCATGCTCACTGTTATGCCAGCGTTTCACACCCGCCGCTGGAGTGCCAGCTGGAGTCGCCTGCCACAAATGCGATCGAGTCCAAAAAAACAAAGCCAATGGATGCAATTGATCACGAAGAAGCGTGCCTGCCGCCTCGCTTTTTTGTCCACGAGGGGGCGGGGGCCATCCACAGCAGCACGTCGTGGCATGGCAAGTAGCTTGGAGGCAGCGCGCGGAAGAAAAGCCCGCACTGAAGCGGCTGTAAACACAACGAGAGACCGTTCCCCCGTTGTACACACTGATCAACAGCCATCGCTATACCTCTAAACAGATGCTACCAGTGAGAGACAAACAAAGATGAAGACTCTAATCGTGAGCATGCCTTGGCAACGAACAGCATGCAGGCATGGAACGCAGTTGTGGAAAGACATTCTTGCAACAAGTATTTATCAGAAATACTTACGCGCTGCTTAGTTCCATGAACAGATGAAGACTCTAATCGACATGATGCCCTAGCACGTAGTACAGTTATGCGAAGGCATCAGATTTGCGCACCACATGCAGATTGCACACCTTCTGCCGATTGCACACAGGCCGATTCTCAGTCCCAAGCAAACGGGCGCAATGCAGCATCCAGCAAATTCTCCTCAGAAGCAAACAAGCTAACCATGAAGTTCATCCATTGACGCAGCCAATATAAACCGGAATATGGTTCATTCATAAACCATGCAAGAACCACCAACTAGCAGTTCTTGCACTAATCTTCTGATCCAGTTTATTAACCCCTAGAATCTCGAATACGTTGCTTGTCATCCTCCAGTAACCATTGATCGACTACTTAACACCTTTAGAATCCCGAAACATCTTGCACCATCTCCTATTATCGAACACCAAAATTGTTGGTTACGAAGTCAGAAATTAGAATATCCGGAAGCATAACTTTCTCGTTCCCTGGTCGTCCAGCATCTCGATCCAAACACAAGCCAACCGGCCTGGTGAGTTGTACTGGTCGCACAGCATTCCCCCTGGAAAGCGCGAAACTTCCCTTTTCCCCAGCTTCCTACCCCAGGCGATGAAGAGGACGCCAAAACCGGCACGCTGTCTTTCCAAGACTAAACACAAACAGTTTGATAGTGAAACAACAAATCCGCACACACGCCGCAGACACTGTGAGGCTTTGTTCGACAACATGGTTCGTGACCACACAAAGGCATTCAGCAACGCAACAAACTGATGGCCTTCTTGTGAGCTACGAGCATTTCCAAAACAAAACAATAAACACTGATCCGCCAACCATGCAGACGGTGGCTTTGATGTCCAAACAAAGTCCTTTACAATGCATATGGCTGGATACACCATGTATACACCATGTACGTGTTGGCTTTCAGCCCCAAGATGCAGACTTATCCGTGAGCCTTTTGTAGGCAGGGTGGTAGGCAAAAGTGTCCTCCTTCTGCCTGAGGGATCTAAGCGATCTAAGAGATCTAAGAGATCGAGATTTCGAGATTTCCTTCACGGAAGTGATGAAGAGTTCGCGTCACTACCTATCCGAGTGCGGGGCAGAATTCCCATCGCCTCCTTCTGCTTCGTACGAACCTCACAAAATTCCAAGCGCGAGGAAACCTACTTCCCACAACATGCTGCACTTCATCTCTCTTCATCTCGTCAGAGGTGTTCGCAGGTTTTGGGATCGCTGCCATTTTGTAGGTTTCATCTGAGTTGGCCAGCAACTTGCTATACTCCTCAGGATATCTCAGGATATCTCAGGATATCTCAGGAGTCCATGTCTGGATGATCGTGGAATGTCTAGTCCAACCGTGTACAGAGGACTCGAAAAACCTCATGCTGCAACGATGGACGCATGCAATCACTGACTGGAAGTCTACGACTGATGTCACTGATCTCTACAATTCTTTTAAATCTACAAGTGTAGAGAACGATGTTCTGGTCTTTTTACTCTTTCTCACCATCTTGCCATATATGGTAAATATGTGTAGATTATAGATGCATATCTAAAAAGAAAACATGTCGACGTTGTTGCCATGTGTTTCCACTGCTCCACGTTGGTCCTTGTCGAAGGTCACCGATCCAGCCTCACAGCAGTCGTGCTTTGATCTTGGTCTATGCCGAAACATCTTGCAGAGGCAACGTAACGTTGACCTGTGACTCCCTGTGACTTTATACCTTACCCAAGACACAAAAGCTGGGGTCGTCAAATTATACCCACAGAAATAGACAAGCTATGACTTTCTCGATGAGTCTGATGTGAGATCTGAGTCGAAATCTGACTCAGAATAATCAGAATAATTATTCGAAGTCTGAGTCAAAGCCCTATCGCCTCATAGCCCGCCACCACTGAAGCTGCCCGGTCACGCTCCTGAGGATTGAAAGTTTGGTAAACGGCATGAGCTAAAGTGCAGAAAGCAGCAGCCACTCGGAAAAGTTTCAACGATCTGAAAATCAATCTCAAAATGACAACATCACATTGAAATGTCATGAAGTATGTCATGAAATGTCATGAAATGATATGAAATGTATTAAAATTTATCACAACGTCAAGAATTGTGAGACCTTGAAACAAGGAAACAACTTCCAGCGTGCCTTCTTCAGCTCCGCATGCTCCTCACATGTTCCGAGAAAAGGCTCATTCTGACGCCAGCATGATAAAGACCGTGAAAGGTTGCCACACGGGTTTCTAGATCCCGCTGTCTTGAGGGTAAACGACCGTAATAGTTATAATGATAATAGTAAGTAATAAGAATCGATTAACTTGTAGTGATGCGAAAACGGCTCTGCGTGGCCTGCTGTAGACGTTGCAAATGTCGCTTCAGCGCATCTGCTCCTCTTTCAGCAGCCTTCGTCAAAGAGGATCAAAGAGGTACATGTAGCAATGTAGCAGCTTCAAGGACCAAATCACTGGGTGAGAGCATGGTGAGAGCTTATTGCAGAAAACAACTCAAGTGTGGCTTGGAATTCTTTGAACAGATCAACTTTGCATCATTATTGCGACAAAGTGGAAATATGATGAAGTAATGCTTTTGCTTCTTTCGTCGCTTCCAACTTTGATCTCTAGAATCAATAGGTTGAACTCGAGACAAGAGCTTTGGCTGCAAAATGGCGCTGGGTTCCTGACCATTCTCGCCGGACAACTCGCCACTTTCTTTTGGAGTCTTTGAGCCACAGAGAGCAGGAATCGTATTACGAAGAAAGCCTGTTGTCTAGTTTTCGCACTTCACAGCTTAAATAGCATCTGGATATCCACCTAACTTAAAGTTGCTTTTGGCTGAATCTTTGCGGGCTTTCCAAAACCTCTGTTCGCGCACGACTCAGCATCACTAAGCTAGATTCAGGCTGTTCAACAATGCAGGTGTTTGTGATTGTTTATGTGTCGGGCAGTATATTTGCGGACCACGCGTTTTTCTTCGCATCATCTTATACCAGGGTACCAATCTTGCAAAACACCTTTCGAATAGTTGCAATCCTCTTGTGATTGTTCTTTTCCAAACAAACAAGTGAAAAGCGAACCCGGCCTGAATTGTCAGGAATGCTCTACATTCTGCTTCACAGGCCATTATGTACCTCCTCCACGGTACTTTTGGTGGTTAATTTTTGTGAAAGCTGGTATGTCTACGCCTTCAAACCTCGCATTATGCGCTAGCCCTCCTTCCTCCTTCACACAAACACCTTCCCATCTGACATCACAGTGCCCGAGAAAGACCCTCGAGCCGGGCGACTTTTGTCCTTCCTCCACCAACATCGACAGCAGTGGCAAAAGGCGCCTTTACCCTTACCATTCCTATCTGTGCTAGCACTCCTTCCTCCTTCTCGCAGACATCGGCTCCTCTGCAAGCACCCCAAAAGGCTCCCCAAAATGCGGACCTAGGGGGAATCGATACCCTACCGTCACCCTTTTGCCGCATGGTACATGACCCGGAAAAACGGTCCCAAAACCCACCCTTCCCCCCAGGTAATAGCGAGATTTTGGCGGACTTGGGCAAGCCCTCCGCCCAGACCCCTTATACTCACTTTGTTCG